CATAAACAGTAGGATTATTGACTCAAAATGAGTGAAGAAATCTTTGCCATGAATGTCTCTGCACTTCTATTCAACAAACAAGAGTGATAGACAAAGATAGACTTGCTGTTGGTAGAAGAGGCTGCTGCTCTGGTTGGAACAGATTGGGTACAACACGGGTTTTTCTGCCTCTTAGTTGGAGCCAAGACTGAAGGGCATGTGCTCAGGAGTGTGAGGCCTCTGTCTCTCTGTTGCCTTTGAGATTTCACGTTCAGTGACTGATTGCTAATGAGATAAGTGCCTGATGGGGGAGAAAAGAATATGTAACTGCGTGCTAAAGATTGTATCATACTGGGAGCAGCATCCTAAATGTTATCTGATTATCAGCAGTACAAACTAATATTCACTGTTGCATGAACTACTTCACCTGGACCAAAAAAAAAAAAAAAGAGAGCTGATTTTTTTTTTTCATGTTCAACATTAGATCATGATGCCTGCTATGGCATTACTGCTTTTAATATTTTAGGATTGGAGAAAACATGCTGTTATTTAGTAATTGGGTTTTACCACTGAGGAGTCTTGTTCTTACTGCAAATTTCATGAACCCTGGCACTTTTGAGTACCTTCTTGCTGTCTTCAGCATCCTTTTCTAATCTTCTTTTCCTCATACCAATCAATAGATGGAACAGTCTTTTTGTCTTGCAAATAGCTTTATTTTAGCTGTGTATTTTGACTTTGCACTTAAGTAGGATTGGCTTTAAACAAAAAAAGAGCTTTCTTTAATTCTGGATTAATAATTTTTGATCAATTAAACTATTTTTTTCTGTTTTCACTTTTATCCACTTTTCCCCTCATGCATAAGTCCCCCAAAACAACAGAAAGCTTTGAAATAAGAAGCACATAAGTTTTTCTTTTGAGTTTTCTAAGAATTACTATTTGGTCCTATTAATTTACCTGGACTAAGTGCAATCCATTCATAATCCCACCAGGTTGCATATGCAACCAATGATTTCTAGTCCTGGTAATTTATGGGTTTTTAAATTCATCATTGTGAGACTTGAACCTCTGTCTTGCAGTGCCATCCATGCCTGCAGATGAACTGGTTTAGAACTGCCTTTATTAGATACCCAGCCTGTTCTAAAATAAATAAATATTTTAATATATGAAATGGATAGTTCCAGAAAAACTGGTCCTATTTTCTACTTTGATTGTGGTCTTCCAGGACTCTGAGAGAAATCCCTGATTCATACAATCTGAAACTTTCATATGTCTGAATTGTAAGGTCATCTTTACTTCCTTTTCCTTAATTTTTCTCTTGTTATCCTTTCCTGCTGTTTCCAAACTAATGATACAAATGATGACTTTAACTTTTCTTGCTGTGTTTAACTTCTCCTTTCTTTCCCAGATTTAAAATCTAAACTAAAAATCAATCAAGCTTATTTAATTATTTCCCATCACTGCAAATGTGGTGATGCACGGTGAATAACAGTGAGGATATGGGATAATAGATGAATTTGTCAGTTGGATTTATAGTGGGAAGTTATCCATAGGGCAACCATTGCCCTTTAAATTTTAAAGCCTCCAATAAATGTTTAATTAGTAGATACTTGGAATGATGTCAGACTTGCTTTTGCTGTACTGGAGGTGCTGTCCTCAGGGTCAGCAGACTGGAGTGTGCAAGTGTTCTTCAAGATGCCCGTGCAAAATCCAGCCCTTTGGCTTAAGCTGCTGTGGGAGCTGGTTTTGAAGACCTTTCTCTGGTCTCACTAATGGATGTTCACCTGTTTCTGTTCCATTCACCACTGCCAGCTGGGGAGGTTACAATGTCTTAAACTGCTACAGCTGTTTGCTACTTAATGCATGTCTGTGCCCAAGGTCTTTTGCCAGTAGTCTGCAAGGAATTAATGCAATCTAAAGACTAATGGGTCTGTCTTTCAATGCAAGGCTGAATTTAAGTTTTATTAAATATCATGGAAGCTGTCTTTGATATTTTCTGACTTTTGAATGATTAAGCAGAAATCAGCTCATGTTCTGCCTACATTGTCAATGCAGACTACAGAGGGTGCTTAAAAGGAGAATGTCCATCCTCCTCTCCCCCAAGAGAGGATGTTTGATAGATGTTTGCACCCAGAACCCCCACACCCCTATTTTAGCTTCTCTGGAGGCTGCTCCCTGTCAGCATGCTGCTAGTGGTTTTTTGCCCCCCCCCATCTGCTTTATGCATCTCTTACTGGAGCAGAACTGGTGGCAGTGTTTGGTTTCTTGCACTGCCTCATGACAGTAGCAAGACCCTTAAAATAGCATCCTTTGGCTATGCACAGACCCTTTCAGGCTTGGCCCAGCCCAATCTGTATCTAGCTGCTGAATTGTAATTGGAGCAACCAGACTAATCTCACCAATAAAATCTGTCAAACAGAAGGCATGACTTTGTCTTTCCTGCCTCTGTCATTACAGCTGTAATGGGGTAGTCAGGCTCCTGACCTAAGGGCATGTTTTTCATGCCTTACATGAAACTCTTCAGATCCTGCAGGCGCAGTAGTTCAGATGGAGAAAAGGTGTTTTGATTGTTTGTTCATTCAGCCAAAAATAAGAGCAAGAGTTACCTTTTTGGGTTCCCCCTCCATTTGTGTTATGTATCAGAGTTCCAATCTGCTGTAAAGTAAAGAAGATCCACATGATATTTTACAGAAAATGTAACTTAATTGAATGCCATTGTGTCAGATACAATTATAGTTCCTTGTTTCAGAAACATTTTTGATTTATTTTGTGTTATCACTTTTTGTGATGTACAGAAGCTGTGTTGCCTCTTATACTGAAATTTCAGTGAACTGCTGGTGCAGTTGACCTCTGAATTTATGGTACTGTGAACCTTGAAGATGTAGGAGAAAGTTGATTTGAATAAGAGGGAAGAAGCAAGGATTTCTTCCATTTGACTGGTACCATTCAGAGTAAAACTAACCTTTCAGGAGCACTCAACTTCGTTGAAGTGTGATCACAAAAAAGCATTATATACCTTCTAAGCAATTTCTCTTCACTGCTGCTTTTCAACATTGTTTCAGTTTGCTAGAATGCCGCTCCAAGGGACAAGAGTTCAAAATGTGTATCTGACAAAATACTCAATGTGCTGAACAGCACTTCTGAATGCAGACATATGCACTATTGCTATTTACACAGTTCAGTGGATGTGTATTATAATAAGTTTACAATATTAGCAGTAACTCCAGGCACCCTGTCTTAACAGTATTTAGCCTGAGCTGCTTAGATAAAATGTTCAGGAGATTTACTACCTATGTGGGGAATTTCTGGTTCTTGGCGTGATATGCGAATTAGCATAGAGTTGGGATTATAAACTACTAAGTAACTGTACCACTGTTATGGATTATTCTTTATCCTTTCCAATTCTGATGGCTTTTACTGAATATATAGCCTATGGAAGACTTCTCTTCCTCTTGTTTAAATTGCTAGTGAATCTGTTGCATTGGGTTAGAAACTCCCATATTGCCGGATTGTGTTACAGTAATTGGTATCTTTGCTTCATCTCAGCCAATGACCACGCTTCCTTTCTGACCAGGCTGATTGGGCAAAGGGTGTGCCTTGTGTATTTTTGTTCATTGGGTCGAACTGCCTGCATGACTGCCCTACAGTGTCCCTGCGCACTTTTCTTCAGAGATGGGGAATGGGGAACTTAATCATCCAACTTCAATCCTTCCTCTTCACATTTTAGCTGGAGTTTAATACAGTTGTTTGCCACTTTGGTGCTTAACTTCATTTAGATTAACTTGAACTAACTTACCGCCGTTGCTAATGTTTAGACTTTTACCCAGCAACAGAATAATTTTGGTATTACCTGAGGCAGTTGCTATTGGAGCTGTTAAATTATTTCACAATTGTTGAAACTTCTGCAATTTGCCAGAACCACCACATTTTTGTAAAAATGCTTCTGTGAAGGATCTTGAGAAGTGTTAGTGGGGTACAAGAAGGCAGCAGCTGCTGCTGTGATCTTTTTGCTTCATCCTGACTTTTAAATGCACCCTCTGCTTTGGAGGCTTTCAGGTCCCAGTTTTCATTAGGTAGGTGCCAAAGTGATGCCACATCAGGGAGTCGATTGATGGCAGTGTACTTGTGGGAGAGGAGAGTCTTGCAGTGCCCATGTGTTGGCTTAGATGGAGGAGGGGCAACAGAGGGGCTGTGTGCCATGGCACTGAGGCCGCTGTCAAGGCTGGACTTGGTGTGGAAGAGTGGCTGAGACCAGAGTTTTTTATGTGCAGCAGGGAGCTGCATAATGATTTTGATGAGAAAATGTATAAAATAACCAGCAGAATGTTTTTTGCATAACTGAAAATGCTATACATGGTGATATCTGCGGATGATGAGTTCTCATTGAGATTCTAGAGCTTAGAGGTCCTTCAAAATGGATGGACTGCTGCTCTGACTCAGAGAGCAAGGCATCTGATGTGTTGGTGATGCAAAGAGAGAAGTGTGTGGGTGGAGGAGTGTAAGACTGAGTATTCTGAGAGTATTCTATAAAATATTCTATGCCTTAGACTTTGTGCTTCACTTCAGGTACTGAATATCTGAGTTCTTCATATGGAGCATGTATGTCATCCTTGTAAGCCAACTTTATGCAAGGGAGGTGGTCCACAGTGTTACCAAGAAAAGCAGTCCAATCAAAAATACTTTCAAAACAATTTTGTGGCTTGCTGCAGTTATCTACTTCCTCTTCCATCTCCTTTTTTTCCCTCATCCTCTTGCCCAGTTCCGTGAGAGTAGCGTGACTTGTCCTGCTGGCCATGCGTTAGTGACATGTCCTGGCTGAGAGCAAAGGATTTCTTAAGATCTGTCACCTTCTGTGAGGCTGGGGCTTGGCCTGGTGCTGGCCTGGGAGCAAGGAATCAAGCCACCATCCCCTACTGATTTCCTTGTCTGGCCCCAGGAAGATGGGTTTGTGTGCTATCACTAGGCTGCTTTTGGGGTTAGTTAAAAGAAGCTCTATGGACTGAGTGGGTGTTTTTGCATTTCAGGAAGAAGAAATGCCAGAAGTAGAAATTGACATTGATGACCTTCTTGATGCAGCCAATGAAGAGGAGAGAGCTCTCAAATTGCAGGTAATATTATTTTATAATTTTAAATCGGAAGGTGGCTGAAGTAATGCGTCTGGATCAATACCTTGTGTTTGATTGAATCCACTGTAAATGTAGAATTACAATGGAGAGATTCCTAGATCAGTCTAGCATAGTCTACCAGGCTGTTCAAAGTAATCAAAATCCTTTTCGATAAAAAAAATTTGCAAGGTAGGCGATAAGCCTAGTAAATAAAAAGAGAAATATGCTAAGCCAAATTAGCCTCATTCAAATTTGTACAATTATGTAAAATAAAGAAGAGAAAACATGGGAAAATGAACATGAAACAGCACATGGAAAAAGCTGTGTGACTGAGAGTCAGTTATGATGACCAGATAGTTTCTGTGATTCACTACAGCAATAGAAATGTGTATACAGACCAGAAATCTTCCCTTGTGCTTAGCCTACTGGCAATTATTTCTGCCTGTACTAGAAAGAAATTGGAACCCATCAAAAAGTTCTAAGAAAGGGTAAGATGGTCAGGAACAGGAATTAGGAGGGAAATTCAAAAGCTATTTGATGAAATTAAACAGTTTAAACCCACTCTCTAAACTTTTGAATCTTGTGTGAGGTAGGAGTTAATGAATGGAAGAATGAGGAGGAAAAGAAATATCATTGCCTTAATATAAATCTCTCTCTAAATCAATATATAAAACCAATAGGAAATGTCTCCATTTATGATCTTTTCAGATGCAGTAAGAAAAGGAAAATTGTTCTAGAGTCATGGCTTGCCCTCAGCTTGCTCCTGGGAGGTGACTAATGTGGTGCCCTGATGCAGCACATCTCATTTTAGTGCCTGTTAGTGCCCTTCTCTCAGTGCCTGCTGGCCAGCCACAGAGACGTGGGGCATGGCCCCAGGCTGTTTGCTCAGCCTTCATAAATAGCTTTGCTGCTTCTGCCTAAACTAGCTGCAGCAGGCCCCTGCTAGGAATGCCCTGCTAGGAATAACTAACGTCTCTATTTCTGCATTGCAAAGACTCTCATGTCCTCACAGAAAGCTGCCTTTCACATGTCTGTTCCTAGGAGAAATCTTCTTGGATTCTCCTCCTCTTCTCAGTTTTCCTTGGAGACAGGGAGACTTGTAACTTCCTACCTGGAGAAAGAAGCCATTATTTCTTTCCTGGTACAAATAATTCTGATCCACATAGGGAGCAAAGGTGACTTGTATAACTTCGGGTTTTCAGTAACATCTTCATTCAGTGATTCCTGTTCTTGCTTCTTTTCTTTCTCTCCTCCCTTGTCAGGTTTCATACAATGCCTTGTTTATGTTCACTATTACTCTGTATGGATACTGACCTTTTCGTATTTTGCTTCTAGGAAACTCTTGTAGATTGCTACAAACCAACAGAGGTAAAAGACTTTTTAAAAATGTTCTTAACCTGTGGAAACTGTAGTTATGTTCAAGCTAAAGTAACTTTATTTTTATTCTTATGATAAAGTAATTAGATTAATATTAATGGCTATCTAATCTAGGTGATAGACTTGGAGCTTTATATCCTGAAAATGTTTGTGCCTGTCACTTGGCTGCAGTAGGAATGTTATTGTTCCCTGTGGAGGAACTGCTGGTCATTCCTGCTGAACTATCAATATTGTTTACTGTAATGTCCTTCTGACTACACTGAGTTTTAAAGCTGCTTTGTTACAAGAAAACTAAATATAGTTATCATCAGATGGCTAAAATATTTGCATGTTGGACTGTACTCTTGACTGTGAAATAATTTAACTTTATCTATGACAGTAAAATTTATTCTGAGAACTGTTATGCAGATATGCAGCTTAGCTAATTGTTTATGTGAATGGACTTGAATGAAATTGTGGGATCACCTGGATTTAGTTACTCAATTTTCAACTTGTGTATCCATTAATGTGTCCAGTGCCAATATAGCCTGCTTTTCATGTGTGCTTACTAGGAGGAGTAAATAATGTAAAAAAACCCCTTTGACTCACTGTAAAAATCAAAAGTCTAGGTCATGGGTCAGTGAGTTAGTTTCATTTATCTAGTCAGTTCTTTCCCAGAAGTGGCTGCTGCACAGTATTTAATTGAGGGGTTGGCTTACAGGATTCTTCTTGTCAGAGACCTTTCAGCTGTGCATGACTAGAAGCCAGGTGTTTGGTTTTGAAATAAAGCTTCAAATAGGTTGGTTCTTCTGTAATATCTGCAGCTGTAGCCATATAAACTGGTGGGGCTTAAGAATAGTCAAACTATCAGGAAGAACTGCTGGTGTGGTTGAATAGGCACTTCACAGTCCATGAGATATTTTCTTCAAGGCTTTTCCATTTTTATTGGTTCCTGTGGTAGACTGGGAGGATTCTCCAGAATTGCTGGTACAAACATTTTGATAGTGAGGGAAACTGACCCAGAAAGACTCAACTGATAACACCTGTAGAGTTTGTTGTGTGTTTTATCTCGGTTGCCTTACAGCAAATAAAACACATCTTCCATTATGGAGATGCCATAATGCCAAGTCTTCAGCTGTCTCACTGTAGTAATGCTACACCAAAAATGACCCTGTCAGCCTTCTCCAGCCTCTAAGCAAGTTCCATTGAACCTTGGTGCTTCTTCTTAAGATAGGTGTGAAGATGGATACAGCATGTGGAGCCTGGTGTGGCTCTTGTCACAGGCTAGTAAGAGAAAGCTGGAGTCATGACTAGGTGAGAGGAACAGGCTGCCAAGGGCTTAACACTCAGTCATGTGCTGACCTCTTTTCTCTGTGTTATCTGAAGGCAGAGATCAAATAATTACTCTTCTTCCTTCTTCATTAAACATGCCATATGAATGATTTTTTTTTTACCTGTGAAGTCTGACGCAGTGCAAGGACAAATTTCAGAGAGCTGATACGGGTACATGACAGATGTCAGTGAGTGTTCCACTGGAAATCTTGGTTGTAGAACTACAGGGAAGATTTGTGTCATACTGGTAAATTAAGTTGGTGTGGCAGTTCTCAGGAAACAACATCCTGGACACATCCTTGTCTGCCTTCAAGGCACCTGGATCAAGGTGAGATTTTAGTACTGAACTGGTGACCTGTGTCTTCAATTCTTTGTGGATGGGATGGAGGCAGCTCCCTTATCTGTAAGAATTTTTATCTTCCTTGACAAACTATAGAGATAGCCAAGTTGAGAGGGTACTTAATCCACTCACTCTCTACACTAGTTGAAAGGAGGTTGTAGACACATGGTGTTGGCCTCTTCTCCCAGGAATTAGTGATAGGACAAGAGGACATAGCCTCAAGCTATGGCAGGGGAGTTTAGGTTAGACATTAGGAAGAAATTCTTCACAAAAGGATTGGTAGACTGGAATGGGTTGCCCAAGAGATGGTGTTGTCACCACCATGGAGGTGTTCAAGGAAAGGTACTTTGTGCCATGGTCTAGTTGACAAGGTGGTGTTTGGTTGTAGTTTGGACTTAATCTCAGAGGCCTTTTCCAACTTAATTGATTCTGTGAGGATAGTTTCCAAAATGAGTCACATCCCAGGACTGTTTTACAACAGCAACTTTTCTTCTTCTATGGCTTGGTGAGCCCAGTAATACTGCATTGACTGCTCGCTTAGGCCACTTAAAAATAGTGATTTTTATCCTGCCATGTGTGAACTAAAGAGCCTTTTAGTTGGCTTAAACTTTCGATATGTGGATCCACACCTTGTCTAGAAAATCTGCAATCTTTTTATATTTGCAGACCATTCCAAACTATTGAGGTACTTGGCTTGTGGAAGGATTTTTAGAAGATTTGTGGAGAATAGATATGAGCTAATGGAATTTCTCCTGACCAATGAAACACAGTCTGTCAAGTGCACTAGGGATTTTATCATCAAGAGTTATACAATTTGCAAAAGGTAGTAATCCCTAATTGGGGGAAAAGTTGTGTAATATGATGTCTCTGCTATTCAGAACATAAAGAAAAATAGTACAGGCAAAAAGGTTAATAACTCAAAGCTCTTACCCAGCTGTGAAAAAAACTCTGTAAACCTGCAAATGTATATCTTAAGTCAGTTTTGGTCAGTATCTTCCATTTAGACTAAAGGTTAAGGAAAGACTGAGGAATGTTTGTATGTATCCTGGATTTTTTCATCAGGAAGCTGAGTTATCCAGGTCACTTAAAACATGGAGAGAGTTCCCAACCTCTTTAATAATTTGACCAAAGACAGTAGCTGACAGTAACTAATGAGGAACTGTCACAAAACCTTTCTTCTAATGGAAATACAGCTAGACTGTTGAATGTGCTTTAAAATATTAAAAACTTTTCTTAGGTAGCACTTATGGCTGTTTTAATTTGTATGGAAATATGCTTAATGTGGGACCTTCATGTAAAGAATTATTATGTACACACACTTAAAGGATTTAGTATCTGCTAAATCAGTGCCATAGTTAAATTTTGGATCTGAACTTCTATAATTGAAGAGGAGCAGGGAGCAGCATCCTCTTCCTGCATCATCTGTGTGCCAGTCAGTCCTTCATACAGTCCCACATGTCACTTGTGGAAAATCCCACTCTGACCTTTGTTGAGTTGCTGTCTCAGCTCTGTCTGATGTTCTGTGTCATCATCTGATGGTGGAGAATTTTAATGTTCTCAGTGAATAGAACAGATTTCAATATAATCTGCAATCTTGATGATGATCTTTAGATATTTTACAATAGATTCTTATTCAGGATAGGAAGACAGTTGTGACTGTGAAATTCATTAGGTTTTTGCAAGACACATATTTTGAAGAAGGCTGACTAAATCTGTATTGCGGTTATTTCTGCTATTGGTAACAGCAAGGCCACTTGTTTAGACTGGGCATTGGAGAAAATTTGAAATATTTATGGCTGATGTGAATTAGCCATAGTGGGACAGTCAAAGTAAGACAGGAAAAATTACAAGGAAACTCTTAAACTGCTATGGGAGAGAAATCCAATGAGTGGGCAATTTTTATGCTCACTGGCTCCAAAAGATGCAGCTGAGCAACACAAGGTCTGCAGATAATGAGTGTTTGAAGAGAACTGAATAAATTAGATTTGCAGTTTATTTACTTCTTTCTTTTCTTATAGAAATATACAAAGCTTCAGATGAATGAGCTGGAGATCTTTCCCATTCAGGCAGGATTAAATCTATTTTGTTAGTACAATTCTTCACTTAGTGCAAAATGGGAGAAAAAGAAGATGAAATTGCATCATAAAAGGAAGTTGCATAGCTGGAAGCTTCTCATAACAATTTTTAATATGGTTTGCAAACAAACTATGTTGAATTGTTGTGCATATTTTCTGGAGAACTTGGGCAGAGATTTGATTACTGCCTACTCAATTACTTCAGTGGTTGGACTATTTCAGCAGCTTCTAACACTTTTGAAAAAGGTAGAGTTGCATTTGCTTAACTGTATGTTTCTCCAAGTTTAATTCCTAGTTGGCGCAAATGACAGGCTTGTGATGCAACTTTTTAGATTGTCTAGGCACTGTGGTTTTTAAAGATAAAAGCTGTTTTGTGTATGTATTGACATATTGTATGTTTTTAATATACAGGCATGAATAGAAAGCTCAATGCTTCTGAAACAGAGTCCCATAACTTTTGAAGCACCTTATGTTTATTTTGGTCCTAATATGTTGTCAATTATTTCCAGTTAATGTTACTGTTTGCTTTTTTCTATTGCAAGGCAGCAAGATGTAGGATACCCTCAAGAAGCAATAGTCACTGCAGATGTGTCCTAAAGCCTCAGTGCAGTATGCTGCCTTACATCTGGGCAAGCCAGGGCACCTGATGGGTGGTAAATTATTAAGTCACAGCAAATGTATTTTGTGTCCATGTTACTTGAAATGAAATAGGAGAATTTGTAGAGAAAAAAGGTTAGAAAACATGCTTGTTTAAAAGCAATGCAGGCAGATGCATTTCAAATAAAAGATGCTTTCTTGTTCATCCATTTGACCGCTGAATTCAGTGAACTAAAACTTTTTATGTGCCTGCTGAGATCTGCCCTATATTGTACTACAACGTTGGAGGGAATTGAGGTTGCATGTTTTCATTTCTGCAAGTAATCATGAACACAACTTATAAATACCCATAGCAATATCAGAAGGGAAGAGCAAGTGGTGATTTGACAAGAATAAGCTGTGCTTGTTTACGTGCTGCCGAATTGGAGAATAATTGGGCTGCAAGTCTTAACTGCAGCTAAGCTTTGTGGTGTGTAGTTAGTGCCTTATACAGAGCTCACCAAGAAGCTGAAGTGCTGCAAAAATTTCATGCTCTGGACACTGATGGTGCTGTGGCCTCACTGGAGAGGGCGTGGGGCGTGTTGAGGGCATCATTCATTGAGGCTACAGAGATGCTGCACTGGCTCTTGCTAATAGAAGGCATCTTCTGGCCCTGCTCTCCCAAAGCAGCTCCCTTTTCTCTGTACAATTGGCTTTAGTGGGGGTTGAGCCTGTGTGGAAAAGAAAGTATTTGGCGGTGAGATGGGTTATTATTCAGGTTCTTTCCCAATCAGCTGTGGGATCGCTCTCCAGGCTGACTTTAGTTTTTACATCCAACTAATAAAGCCATCTCCAAGAAATAGCCTTGGGCAAACAGTTAATCTTGGTTTTTGACCTGGCTACAGGAAAGTAAAGCCATGAAGGAAAGCTGACTTAGGATTCATTTCATGCTCTAGTGAAGCAGGAGGACTAGAAACTCTAAATTTTAGTTTAAAAACTAGTCCTACTACATGTGTACTGTTTGAGGAAGAGAAATATGGAGAGGCAGAATCTAATTAGTCTCCAGAATTAATTGGAAGACTTGAATAGGAAGCCTGGAATTCATTGTCTGTCAAATGACCTCATTAAAACAATGAGTCACACCACCAAAGCAGAGAGGTGAAGTGATTTCCTCCCCTTTCCTGAATTATCATTTCACCTTTGTTTTTTGTCTTTATTTTTTCCCTAAGGCTGAATATAGATGAGTTCAAATGAACTATAGATTTAGTCTGTCTCTCATTAAAATTTGCCTTTAGAATTAGAGAGATGTCTTCTAGAAACAATGGTTTAGTATTACAAATTAAAAAGATTCTCACTACTTGTAATAAGGGTGCCTCCTTGCAGAAAATCTGTAAAAAAGAATTTTATCTAAATCTGCATACATTTTTGCACTTTCTAAAAACTTTATTTTTTATTTTATTTACCAAGGCACAAAGTGCTGGTGTGAGGTTTTTCTTGTATTAGAAGTGCATGTAGCATGTGTATTCCTGGCTATAACCCTTCAAGGAATAATGAATAAGTTTTTGAATCCTTAGCTGAATTATTCCTGTTTTTTAATTCCATGAATTAAATCAATATATATAGATAAATAATTCAACCTGTGCTGCAGAAGTGCTTTTAACATAGATTAGTCCATGATCAGCTTTCAGACATCTGACACTAAATTTCAGCATATCTTGTTAGGGGGGATTTCAGTAAAATGCTCTGTGTACGATGACTTTTGTGTACAAGGTAGAGACAGATGTGGATATTAAGTCTTGACTCAAATGGCCACAAGGAACAACACTGCAACCTTTGAGCGATGGCTTAAGAAAGCAAAATGTATATTGCTGACGTAAACTTGAGTTGGTTAGTTGTAAAGAGAAGGTTTACTGAAATGCTGTGAAGTCTCCTTTCTTGCCTTCATGAGGGAAAATGTGCATCTTTTCTAGAACACTGATTTTCCTTCATGGGGAAGGAAAAGCAAAGCAAAAAAGGCACAAGCACCAGAGCACAACTGTGTTTATGACAGCCGGCTCCATGCGAGTGTCAGATGCAAAGTGATACTTAGATCAGAAGTGTGCTGAACCAGTGCTGTGGTTTGGGTGTCTATGGGAAATGCACAACAGCACTACTGTGTTATGCAAAATGTCTGCCACATGCAAAATGCTCTTGTTGGGTTTTACTCTTTGGTAGTGCAGACCCTTATTTCAAGCGAAAAAAAAAAAGTTCCAGGGGGATAAAGCCTTTAAAATTATTATATGTACTTCTTCAAATGAATGCCTTCTCTACCGTAAGAATAGTTGCAGTTGCTTCAGATCTCCTTCAGGGGCTTGACCCTACAGTTTGGTTTATTTTGGCAGCAGTAAGAAGTTTCTGGGTAGTGTTAAACTTGCCTGAAAACCTCAAGCACATATCTTGTTTTGCAAAAGAAGGCACTTCTGATAACTCTTCAAAATTAACGGGAGGAATTCCTCTCTTTTGCTATAATTTCATATTAAAAAGCAACTGACCCTTGGCTACATTTCATATCTAAGGGAACCTTGCTTCAGACTCTACTGAGCTGTGGGAGAATGGGCAGAGGAGTGGCAGGGTGGGATGTCCCTAATGACTACAGAGTACCATAGGTGTTCCTGTCTGCAGATGTCCCTTCCCATAAGGCTCTTACTTCTGTGAAGCTGATGGAGGCCAGATGCATTGTCTTCTTGTAGAGTATTTGTGGCTTGAACAGACAATTTTAAAAGTTTTTCTAAGGGAATAACTGCACGTCAGCCCGTTCTTCTCCAAAGCTGTCTTAATCTGATAGGACTATAATTTTTTGGGTTTTTTTAATGGAAAGACTTGTTGAGAGGCAATACAAATGACATTAATCCCAAGAAAGACTCTTTTAAGATCACTTTAGTGAGTTTATTTCTCTAATGATTGTACTGAAGGGCTTTATGTAAGTTTGACAGTAAAAATCCTAAAGTGTGTTTATGTGTTTCAAGCAGCACCATGCAATATAGTTTTCCATTATCTAACAGATCCTTTCAGTGATGATATGGTGACACAAAACTAATGCAATTTTCTTGAAAGCTGTGAATTTTTAGAGTAAGCATGTCTTTCTCCTTCTGATTTTTTCAGTGGAGAAGTACTGGACTGTGACAAGTATAAAGTTTATATTGTTCCAATGGCTTATGCCTTTGTGAAGTAAGACAGCCTCAAGAGGATGGAGGGAGATGATTTGAGGGTCTTAAGAAACCTGTTTTTCTGATCATCTGATTAGGCTGTCTGTCCAGATGGGGAGCATGATATTGATATGCACAGATGTATTCCTGAAGTGGCCTTCACTTAGTTCAGGGTGGAGATCCCACTGTTGTGTAGCTGCTCTGCCTTTGCTGCTGTGCAGTGCAGGCACAGGTAGTGTGGGTGCAACAACAGCCATGGTGCAACAGTACATGCAGTTCACTGTAGATGTGCATAATCTGTAAGGAAAGGAAATTGGTCTGTTGGGACCATGGTGCTACCAGAAAAACCCGACATATTTCTTATTTAAAATACACATTTATGCATACTTTCCTTACACAAAGTGTCACATCTTGTAATACATGTTTCCATGTGACCTTTTTTGAAAGGTATTGTGTTGTCATTTAAGTGGTAACTTTGTTCACTGGAATTTTTAACTTCAAGCATTCATCCAGGAAATCACGCTTTTAGTTGTTTCATAAAATCATAGAATGGTTTAGGTTGGAAGGGACCTTAAAGATCATCTGGTTTGACTGCCAAGGGCTGGGACACCATCCTTTGATAGGCTCAAAGCCCTGTCCGACCTGGCTTTTCACATCAACCTAACTGAATAATTACATTCCATGTTTACAGCTAGCTGATTTCATAAGAACCTTTTTGTAGGTTCAAACACAGTACTGTGGATAAACATTATTTTCCCAATGTGACAGTAAGGAGGTCATGTAGCTTTTCATGCACCTGCAAGAAATTTTATACCAAAAGAATTTCAGAGAATGGTGCAAATATGTAAGCTTCTGTTCTCCCACAGTTTAAAAAGAGGAAATCTGCTGAAACTGGGGAAAATACCACTGTGAATAAAGGCCTAGTCCATTAATCCGTTTGTTGTGTTTTGGGTTTTTTGTTGTTTTTTTTTAGGGGGGGTGGGGGTTGGCATTTGTTTGTTTGTTTTCAAAGTAGTGTCATTGACTTAGTTCCAGCTTGGAAAGTAGCAGGGCAAGAAGAAAAACAGCAGAAATTTTTAGCCAGATCAACTTTCTTGTACAGCTCAGCATGCAGCCAACCAAAATACTAGTTCCAGCATGGAGAGTGGCAAGAGAAACACCTCTTTTGGCAAGAGTGCTGGTTTCTGTGCAGGCTTAAGCTGTGGAAGTCTGCTTTGACTGTCTTCCTTGCATCCAGCCTAGGTTTTGCTTCGTTCAGTAGCTGGTGCAGTAAAAGCCTGAAAGATGGGTTATAACTGAGCTGGCACAGTCACAAGGAAAAGCTCATTGTTCACACTTCTGCTGGATGGGAAGGATGTGTATAAGGTTCCTGGCAATCAGGTCAGGGAAATTCCATCTTAGCAGTAAAAGCTTAAATAAAAATATATAGTTTGCATTTTTTTTAATTGATTGTAGTATTATGGGATCATTAAAATTGCTCATATTTTCTGTTTTTTCCCTAGGAATTTATCAAAGAGCTGCTAACTCGGATAAGAGGAATGAGGAAACTCAGTCCCCCTCAAAAGAAGAGTATATAAATAACTCAAAGTAATAGCACTCTGTAAAAGACATGGCAAGGGAAATGGGACTTTGAATACAAGACCTTTATTAAAATAATTGTCTTTCTCCACAACTTTTTTGATTTTATTCAGTTTTGACTCAAGGAATTTTTTTTTTTTTGGTGTGTTTTAAGGGTTCTTTTTTAAGTGTCAATTATTTTTTATCAAAAAATATCAACAATTTGGATGCTGCTCAACTTTCACCTGAGGATTACTGAAGCAAGTGAAGAATCCAAGATTTAGAGATGAGGGGCAGCAAGCCTGTGTGGTGAACCAGAAGATCTTGTAAATTTACAGAGCTAGGAGACTTCTCCTTGCAACTAGTTGGATAACGTTTCTTAAGTTGGTTGTACATTTAACTCATGGATGTCAAGTTTCTTGTGCTTGTCTGTACATAAATTTTAAAGTGGGTTGTGAATACTGTTTCACATGGATGGAAGGAGAAGTTTGTCGTAGTAAATTATTTAAATGGTGGTTATTGCAAATTTGCTACCAAAAGGTACCAATTTAGATTACTAAAATGAATGCTGCCATTTTTCTAAATACCCTTAAAGCAGCCCAGTGAAGAATCTCATCATATCTCCTTGTTTAGACTGCAGCATATGAAAATTGGGAATTTTTAAGGGCTTAATTTCTAGACTTAAAAGTTATTTGATTGACTTTGATGCTTTGCCAGGATCACTTCCTCTCCACCTCATGGTGTCTTGGAGCTGTGCTAACCTATACTGAATATGGGTCTGGAGTGATATCTAGAGAAATGTCCGTGAGCATTTAAAAGCTGGTTCATGCTGGAGGAAAGGCAGTGATACCAAAATGAATTGCAAGTACTGTATTGCATTTAATGATGTGGTCTTAATAAAATGCAGATTCCTCTCCTATAAAGGTAGGCAAAAGTAATACAGCCTTTGTTTATGGCTCTGCCCTGAGAAGTGGGAGACTTCTTAACTTGGGCTCTCGTAAGAGCAAGGGCAGAGATCCCTGCTCCCTTCTGGAAAATGTCCTAACTAGAATGTTTGATAAGCTACCATTTACTGGTAGGTGACATTAGTCAGGCATTTTATACCAAGGGTGCTCTGAACATATTTTATTTTTCAAAAGAAGTACATGTTTGTGAATTTTATGTATACTGGCAAGCTTTTTTAATGTATTTAATTTTGTAATGTTTACTGATGATTTTATTTACCAGATATTTACTCAAATAAATGGAACAACTTGTGACTTGTTACATGTACACTTTACAAGACTACTGTTGCTGAGTAGGTTTGTAAACGGAGTTGCTTGTCAAAAAGAGAAGCCTGTAAGGTGGTAAGTACATGTGAACTCAGATGTATTGACCCGAACTGGCTTTTAATGTACTCAGTATCACTCACACTCCTGTAACCTGGTGCACAGCTTCACTTTTGAAAGTCTTCTCCAGATGAGGCCTTTCTTCCCTGTGCCCTAGGGAATTTGAAAAGGGGTGAGGAAACAAAGCTTGGAAATTCTTTCAGATAAATGCTGATAAATTCAGATTTCTTTTTGTCCACCAGGGATGGACTGTAGGGGAAGGCTTACACTGGGTGGCTCTCAGTTTCCTAGTGAAGGTGTGGCAAAAGGGGATCTTTCAGAAGGAGACACTCTACCTTTCTTCCTTTAGGCACCTTTTTGGATCCTCAAGAAATTCCAGCATCCCTGAGAAAAGACTCACCTGCAGCACTTTAAATTTAAATCTTGTATCTTGCTGAAGTTGCAATTTATCTCTGGTTTGGACTTGGTGGAAATTCTCATATTCAGAGTTTTGAGATGGAGTCTGAAACGACCCACAGTTTGAACTATAAGGGTTCTAATAATTTTCACATTCACAGATGCATTTTGTGACTGCACTGACAATTTCAAGTATCACTTTTTTTTCCTTTATAATAATGGTGTGTCAAATCAGATGTCAATTAATGGCAACTGTACCAGTTCTCTCATTACCTACAGCAAAAATTACTATCCACAAATATTTTTTGTTTAATGTTTTTTGACTAAAATCTGCCCACCCAATTGTACTCATGACATATTTGTGTCTTTTATCCTATTCATTTTGCACTGAGTAGCTGTGGAAAGTAGCAGTGTACCCCTTCTAAAACTAATAGGTTTGGTGGCACACTTAGAAGTGGTGAAGACTGGGACAGTCCTTACTGTTTTTTTGTCTCCTGGAGATGGGCTAAGTCACTTCTGAGAAGAGTTTCCTCCAGCACCACCGGGTTTGCTGTCTTAGAAGTGTCAGTGAGTAAAACCAAGCTCTAAATAGCTTTTGTTTGCAGCTGGCCTGATTTTTCTGGGGACTTATGAGGTCTCATTCTTGCTAAATTTTACTTAATGGAGCTGCTCTTGGCCTTGGTGTTAGTGAGGGGGAATTGACCCATTCACTAAAGATTTAATTGTGCTTTATGTCTTTATACTGCATGGGTGTTCTTGGCTCTGGGGCAATATTCAAGGAGCATATAAATAGCACACTGTTACTGAAACAACTTGAAATTAAATCTTACAGCCCAGTCTCTTTACGGTCTTGGCTGGACATCTTTCATGAGAAGGGCCAAGTTGCTGCAATGAGAGCTTCCTCTGGGCTTTTTAAGTGGCTAATGAAAGAAACTGAAGTTCCTTCTTATAAATACATAGTGAAGCTGAGGTTTTTGTTTTGGAATTGAAGTGCCTTTGCAGTGTTAAAAAATTGCCTTCAAGAGCATGTGTTTCTGGAGTCTGCTTCATGACATAATTAGCTTTTGCATGTTTTACAGCAGGACATGACAGTTGGCTTAGAAAGGAAAGCAAAGTGCTTGTGTAATCATACTTAGTGTGCCTCAGGAGGCTGCAGTGACAGGGTGGTGTATTCAGTGGCACAGAAGAAAGGACATGAACCGTTTGCCTGCCAGCCTTATTTTAGTTTCATCCCCCCAACAATGGGGAACTTACTCCTGAAGTTGCCATTCATGCAGGGAACATCATGCAGAATGTGAAGGGAAAGTTTCTCTATTCTCAGAGAATATAGCCAAGAAAAGCAGGAGCAAAAATCTGCCCTGTTTGTGTACTTGAAACTCTTTGATGCAGAGTCTTAGTACGTTAGTACTTTATGCTGGTAGGTAAAATAGCATATGTGAAATTGAAATTACTCAGCAATTTATTTCTAAATGGCTTTTCAGAGTCAAGACAGTCTTAATGTAAACATGCAGCTCCAGGGTAAAAAAAAAAAAAAATTGCCAGCCACATCAACAGAAGACCTATTTGAGTGGAAGTTAGAAGAAACTGCAGGTCTTATTCTGAACAAACAGCTGAATGGAAAACTCTGGTGAAGTGCTGTAACAAAAGGAAAAATTGCTTCTTGGCTGCATAAGATTTGTCATTGTATACTGCACGGATTGTGTACAGGTACTGAGTAACCACATGCAATACTTTTCAGAAGGTGTTGAGATTTAGGGAGGAAGCCAGAAAAGAAAGCGGATGTTGGGAAGTCCAGGAAAAAAACATCACTAAGAAAATTGTCTGTTAAGAAAACAGAAGAGTCTTGTGTTACTGCATATATTTGTGTATGGAAAGAAAATGAGAAGTGTCAATGCTTTCATGTATTGGAGAAAAGCATGAAGAGGAGAAATACCTGGAAGATAAAGGAAGGAATCTTGAAGTGTTGAAGAAGATACAGAATCCTGATGGTGATGAGCCCTTTGAGCTTGCTACTGTGGGAATAGGTGAGATTGACATCTATTGGTATCTCCAAATTGAAATTGGATGCTTTTCTAGATAAGTTGTCATTGGATAAGTTATTCAGTTTCAGTCAAGGTAATCAAAGGCCTTAAAACTCTAGACTTCTGCTTCATTGGGTTTTGTTTATTTGTTGTTTTTTCTATGATTGTTTTTGGTTTTGTTTTGGGTTTTTGTTTTGTTTCTTGGTTGGTTCTAGATTTTTTTAAAGCAGAGGAAACTAATAGGAAATTGATTTCTATGTATTATGGCAAGTTAATGACGTGCTTATGCAGATTACTAATACTAGCTACATATTTTATATATAACTCAACTACTTTTTACTTGAATTTCATGGTGCAACTTTTTGTTTTTTTTTTTTTTCTTGAAGTAAGCAAATAGGAATTGTGAATGTAATTAAAGTTACTGTTGAAAGCTAGAGGGAATTGAAGTGAAGAAGAAAAAATGTGAAAAGTGCTTAGTCACATAAAATTTTTGCCCCTGGAGGATTCTGTCATAGGTGTGTAAATAGAGTATTTCTGAAGTTTTGAAATCGCCATTTGTAATAATCAAACCTAGAGCTGATGGGGTTTTATTTGTTTTGTGGGTTTTTTTGGTGGAAGTAATGGCTGAATTCTATGAACTTACACTGTTTACTGACTTCTCTGTTTTCCAATAAAAACTGGCATCAGTTGTTTAAGAAACTAAGCTATTTAAAAAATGATCCTAAAAAATGTGTATAAGACTGAGAATTCTTTTGGAGGTGCAGCTAACAGGTTTTGTTTGGTAGTAAACTCAGATGTCTTATTGAATTGGTATTTTAGTTAAACTTTTTACCTTCTAAGATCAAAATGAAAAATATCCTGTGGTAGCCCTTAGCAGAGGTTTCAGTCTGCCTAACTGTATATTACTGGGTTGGACTCGAAGCCCATAATTACTTGGCAAAAAATGTAGCAGCTGTCCTCTTCAAGGACAGAGATTTGTTTTACCACCCCTTCTAGGGTCAAAGGGGATGAGAGCACAACAGGTTTTCCTGCCTTCCTAAAGGAGGATCCTACAGTTAGTGTCAGCAAGGCTTGGCTTTTGCAACAGTTTTGTACCCAGTTTCTGCCACTAACCATCCCCAATGAACTGAGTGTTTTCTGATCTGACTTTCCAGACTTAATTTCAAGCCTGCCAAAGCAATAGTTACTAAATCAGTTTTGGTGCCCATTGTCTCCTGTACCTCATGGTGTGTTTGCCAACAGTCTGCATTATTTTCGCCCATTCCTTAGTTTAACAGCTCAGTTATTTCTCTTGGGATCGTTTACTACTATATGGAAATGGAAATGTGTCATGGTGCTATTTCTGCCACAGTGTTTCTGCTGTCAGT